GCGGGGCTGGGGGCAGCTCCGGGGGCCACAGTCTAGGGGCTGTTGGCAGAAAGGGGAGCCCTTTCGGCTGCCCTGCATTTCTAGATTCCCATGGGGAGCTGTGGCAGGGCAGCTGGTGGGGCCAGGGTCCAATCCAGGGGCTCTTCTGTGTGCTGCTTTGGAGAGCTTCCCAAAGCTGGAGGAAGTTGGTCCCTTGCAGTGTGTTTGCTCTAAGCCAGGGCTACTCCTGAGCACTGGAGAGCCTGACTTGTGTCCCAAGTGTCTGCAAGAAAAGCACTTCTGCCATGTAAATAAAAAGAAAACATACAGCAGGTTTTCACAAGAAGACCCTCTCCCGCGGCTTCCTTGGGAGCAGGGGGCCCTGCTCACCGCCCGAGGGCACGAGCTGTCTGGTTGCAGCCTGCCCGCATGCTCCTTCTCCCAGGCACTGCTCTTCTCAGGCCAGCTCCTCTCCTGCTCTGGCCCTTGGGGTCCTGGCAAGAGCTGCAGCCAGGAAACACCCTCCGCTGAGGCCGCAGTGCCCCTCTCCTAGGAAGCCACCGCTGGGGCAGCAGCACCGTGTGGGAACTTCTCTGCACACCCACCGGGAGCTGCTGTTCTCCGGGGCTGCGCCTCCACTCATTTCTTCCCCAAATGCAGCCTGCAGGCTCTCCCAACAGCAACTGCGGCCACCCTGCTGCTCAGTCCCCTCAGCTGCTGCACGGAGATGTCAGCCCACCCCAAGGGAGCTGCTGTACCCGTAGAGGCACACACGCGTAGGGATGAAGCACGTTGTGCCGAGTGTTTGCGAGAGAGACCAGGAGCAGTCCAAGCACCGCGCCAAAAACTGCTTTTTGCAGTGAAACTCCATGGAGTTTAGTAGTGAATTTCCAGAGAACTTTCTTGAAAAACGTATTTTTTTTCATGAACCAGAACGACACGTTCATGCAGTTATACAAGTGACAACGCTTTTATTGAACTCTTGTATAGTTTATATTTTGGCGCAAAGGCTGTCACTCCTTTGGCTATGGAGCCCGCGACGCCGTTTCTGCCACGGGACGCGACGGGACGCGACGCTCACAGGCCGCGCGCCCGCTCAACGGCCCGCGCCGGCGGCATTCAAACCTGCCTCCCTCCGGCC